AGTCGGTGATTAATAGTTCAAGAAAAAAAAGGGGATTCCAACGGGCAGAAATTATTCTGCTAATATGGCAAATCTATGTTTATTCTACTACGAGTCAAAGCTAGTGACTGAAAATGGAAGTACTTACTCAGTACAGTAAGTATAGTCTACCGGACGTCGTAGAAAGGAAATTTTGCTTTTGTTAATTATCCAGATTTAATTATTAAATAATAGTAAAAACTTTTCATTAATAAGAAAAAAAAAACGCAGCGAAAAGAAATCATCTTCTTCCACTTAAATGCAGCAGCTCCCTCGATCAACCAGCTCCTGACGGTCGGTTCCTGCAACCCGTGGCTCTGTCGGCAACCTGACAGGTTTCAAACTTTGCGGCTCGTCGCGAAAAGATTCAGCGATTCAGCGATTCGCGATTCGGCGCCATGCCCGGAAGAGTCGGGTTGAGGCCTGAAAAATCCAGGCGGAGCCATGACATTTAACACTTACGAGGAACGTGCTGTAATAAATAAATAAAAAAACTATTTATGGTATCAGCATGACTGTTGCACTGAAACTCTTTGCATGGCACTCCTCAAATTCCAACGTTTCGTGGTACTGGTGAAACTGCTCTTCGAGTTGAATTCGGCCTTTCCCGTCTCCTCGGCAGGGAAGTGAAAGTCGAGGATAAAAAATTTGGCTGAGGTGTCCAAAGCGCATTTCGCGGGAGATTGCGGGGAATCCGTGAAGTTTCTTTGTTTCCGTTGCTCAGAATCGTCTGCATTCTGGGTCATGGTGCAGTTGGCGTTTTTGTTAAGATTCCCTAGCTCTACACGAAGAGCGATTCATGCGTATGTGCGACTGTGCGTGTGGACGTGTGGCTGTCCGCGACGCTCTTGTCGGGAGGCGAATTCGTGACTTGTGAGATGAATGTATTCTTCTCGTTGGAGCTGATCCACTTCTGGTTTTTGCTTGACCATCTCGAATTCTGGGGAGGGGGGGGGGGTAGTCCCAAGGATCGTGGTGGACTTGAAATGGTATGCGGAAAGGCCATGGCAGGAAAACAACGCAGACGTTTCAAAAGGTGGTCAAATCTTTAATAGAAGGGCTCTGCATTTATTCGTGAACGTTTACAACCGGTACGAAGTTGTGATAAAATAAATAGGAGCTCTCAGGAGGGATTGCAGAGATCGCATTATGAGGGTTCAAATCCCCAAGTTTGCAGAAAGGAGAGGTAACCTTGAGACGGATTTAAAAAATTTGCGAGACGGCGTGCTGGTAAAAAAAAAATTCTCTTCGAAGGAGCCAAGGTAAGCCTTGCATAAGGAAACCTTATGCCAGGGAATAAGTCGTCACTGGGCTCGATCGCGAGGGCGGCGGACATCGGAATGATTCGGAGAGGATAGAAAAAAAAATTCAAGCCAGAGCATGCAACATAGAGAATAATGAGATAGGATACGGCGCGAGTACGCCGTATCAATCTCCTGCATTCAATCACAGATGAGAGAAAGATTTTTAAAAAAATCAGGACTATTCAGACAAATAAAAAAAATGCAACATAACATGGAGATGCGTGTTGGGTATGTGCAGCTGTAGCTGACTATTACGTGCAAACCTGAGACAGTGACACTCTTCGACAGTAACAAAAATGAGGGACGAACATAACAACCACCATCGTCATCATCATCATTTTCAGCAGGAAATATTTCCCCTCCTCGTCTACTGGCTCGGCGGGAACCTTCTCACTGCCACGGGGATGGCTCCACCTGAAAGCGAACGAGATCTGGGTTCTCCTTAGGTGTCCGCGATCGTTTCTAGCGTCTATCGGTTCGTCGTGCGCTAGGAGATACGATATTCGACGATACAGATACCCACCCACTGAAACGGAAGGACCAGAACCTTGGAATTGCTGCCTCTGCTTCGACTGCTGCTGGCCCTGCGAAGACTCCTGGTTGCCGCCCTTCTCCTCCTCCGGCGGAGGGGGCGGGGTGGAGGGGATGTCGCAGTCCTCGGTCGGCGGGAAGACGCAGCGCGTGCTCTTCTTGTCGAACACCAGCATGGCCGGGCACCTCTGGAGTCGGGGGTAGCCGCCCTGGCAGTTCCAGTACCGGTTGCAGGACTTACCTAGGGGCACGTTCCCGTTCGGATCCTCTCCGCAGAGAGCTGCAGCGTCCGTCGATCAGAAACCGATTCAGAACCCGGTGGGGAAGGGAGCAAACCGACGGAAGAGGGCGGGTGCTTACGGTGCTTCTGGCAGCCTTGGACGTTCTGCGGCCAATCGCAGGACCTCGTCTCCTCGTTGTAAAGAAGGCCTCCGATGCAGAACTGCTCCGTTGCCGTACCGTTCCAGCAAGTCCAGTATCTGGTGCAACTCGTTTCGTGTCCGAAGATCCCGTACTGCCAATCGCAATGCTCGCTCGGGATCGGGGCATCTGCCATGGGGAGGTCGAATCGTGCCGATAATTTTTTTTTTCCTTCGGACCGAGCAATTAAATGGAACTACTGACGAGTTCGTCAATCACTCGTGCGAGGCAAGTTTTTCGAGACCATCAAACTGGGTATTATCTCGCGAAGGGACTAATAA